TATCGGTCCTATCCGAAGTCGTTGTTTATTACTTCGAGTGGGTGCGCCCAATCCAGAACAGGTAAGACAAACAATGAAAGATATCAGAACACCCAAGTCCAAAACATCACGGTAGAAAGGATGAGTAGGAGACGAACCTTCTAGATGGAAGATGGGCTTATTTCCCAACCTGAGGCGATGTTCGTACCAAGCAGCCCAATGGATGATATCAGACCTTAACGCATCATCTACCCGCGTAAGTAAACCTTTCGTGAGTTGAACGATCACGACTGAAGGCGGAATGAGATGCACGAGGAGCTCGTAGAGCATCGCTCGGGCCTCTAACAATTTATCCGGAGATTGTTCCTTCGCGATCACGCCAGCTAATTTATCGATGTACACTTCCCAATCGGGACGTGGGATACTATCGGGAGATGCGCGGCTCTGAAATGTATCATCACCTATCGCCATCAGTACTTTTTTTAAGCGGGTTAACGGTTTGTGAGGGGTACCTTGGAGAATGTTGCGTCCTGTGCTCGAACAGCGTCCAGTGTTAGGAGGGCTCTCCTGAGGTTACCATTTGAAGCCAAGGCGATGGCCATTGCAGTCTCGTCCGGTAGACTTGTGGAAAATGAGGCTTTATTGGACACATTATTTAGAACCTGAGCAATCTAAGCAGGAGGAGAATCAAACGTGCCAAACACACACTCAAGATCAGAATAATAAAACTCGACCGATCCAAGGATGGAAGAAGTGAGACATTGAAGTGGCTTACCTGTTCTGGATTGGGCGCACCCACTCGAAGTAATAAACAACGACTTCGGATAGGACCGATAATCTTGGCTGTGGAATTTGCACAGAGGATTAAGCGCATGGTGGAGGTGTGACGTTCCATGGTGCGCCGAAGAGCAGCCTGTGCATCGTTGGTGAGCTCGTCAGCTCCATGGATGACCACCACCTTGAATCGCTGAGTCGCGCCACTATCCAGTTGGGCGCTCTGTCCAACTTCTTTCAGAACATCCTGAACTACGCTCCGGTCCCATTGTCCGACATCTGATGGTGTCAGTTCGAGATGGTAGTTGGACTGTACCACTTGGACATCCAATCGACGCCGTGATGGTGTTACAAACACTTTTTGATCGATTCTTAACTTCTGTGCCCCAGGACCAAAAAGTTCCTATTCCGTTAAGGAAAGTTACAAAAAATCAAGCGATCAGAAAGCGAAAATCAATAGTCAGCATTCATTAAAAGTGTCACGAGTAATGAACAAACTGTTAATGTGGCTGCAATCCGTGTCTTTTTTCCAGCACCACTCGGGCCGTAAAACAGACAGTGGGGGAAGTCGGCAGTCTGGGCCAACGCGCGAATTCGGTCAGTCAATCCTTGATGATAGTCCAAATCGTCCAGCTTCTTGGGCCGATACTTGTCTACTAATAACGACCTGGGTTTTCAAGTTGTACCCAGAATTCGAGCTTGAATGCATCAATAGGATGTTACTTAGTATAAAATTCTTGGATCTAAACGACTCACATTGATGATCACAGGCGCAAGAATTTTGTTAGCAGCTGACGGAAGAGCAAATTCGAGGAGATCTTTCCCAAGTCTCGAGTGTTGCCGGCTGTGTTTTGGCGCGAACTCGGGACGCGGGTGGTGTACGCGGGGCTACCGGAGGGCCCACGAGGGGCTCCGACTTTACTCCGTCCAATTTCAAGGATCGCTTGCAAGCATCCAAATGTGCTGCATTAGTTTCCCAGTTCACCGGTTGCACCTCCGAATGGTGGAAGCCGAACAGTCTGAGAGAGAGAGAACATGACCAAAGGTGCCACCTTTTCCAACGGGCGCATATTTATCTTGGCGGCATTTCCTTAGGACTGGTCCGTCTAATGTGATAAGTCTGTTGACCACCGTATTGGGCAATACTTACGCCCCGTGTCACGCTCATCAGCCAGGGACAAAGGTAGAATTCCTACTGTTCGGCTCTGTTCTCCCAAAGATGGGCGCCCGGAAGAGCTTTATTCGGCTCTCAAAAGGCTGGCATGTTTCTCTATTGTTTGTTGCCTTTTCCCTCCGCACATCGACTTCCGCAGAGCCAACTTTTTTTTTCTTTTTTCATATTCGGTCTTCAGCGGTTGATCCGGCTTTGACCTTTTGTTAATTAACTGCCGGTTCTGTGAATCATTCTTCAAGGGTTGAACTTGTTCTGTTTCCGTCAGCTTCCATCGTCGCCGTTGTCCGATACACATCCTACACAGATCGATCACTTGGCTTTTTACCCTTACCCCAGTTCCCGGCCATCCACATATTTATCTTTCGTGCAACCTCTACCGAGTATTCTTGATCGACGCGTCCCTCCGTGCATTTGTACATACCGATCATCATGGCTTTTGATCCCAACACGGGATTGCCTTGGGGCATCAATCCCTTCAAAGTTACTTCTCGGGAGACATACGAACCGCCGTTGCCGCCGTCCCAATTTAATATTGGCCACTCTTCAACTGGTATGGATTCCCTTATTTTGTATCCTTTGCTGGCTGCATATATAGATGTTTGACCAAGACTCACACCGTCCATGGTGCTCATTACTGCTTTTTGCCACCGGCACAAACCAGGACTTGGCTCCTCGCTAAATCTCCCGTACTCAAACTTTCCCCAATATGGGCAAAACTTCCCGCTCGACTTCGCTTCATCCATTGATCCTATGGTTTTGAATCCCCCTCCATCCATGTCATCATGGCCTGGTCCTCAACAGGCGTTCGACTTTTCTCTCTTTCACGGGGCTGGGCGTGAGGAGGCCCATGATGGGAACGCGATGTACACAAATACTCTTTTTCCAAATCTTTCCGCTTCGTATGACTCATTTTCGCCGGCTGGATGTTTGGAGAACGCACCCGCTGGTGATATGTCAAGTGAAGACGTCAAAGTGAATCCCATCGATTTTACCTCCACCGACCTTGACTGCTTGCTCAACAAAATGAATGGGGTCGGAATGCTCCCATCGAAGTGCGTCACTCCACCCCCCAGTGGGGATATTAAGGTACCTTTAACCCCCAGGAAAAAAAAACCTTGTAGTAGTGGTTTTTCGCCGGCGATCAAACCCAACTGCTTCGGCTCTCCCATCCAGCCATCTCCGTCCCCCCAGCACAGGTCTATTTATGGCTTCTCAAGCGACATTTCCCTAATTTCTCCAAAGACTTCCATTACCGCCAGCCATACCGACATTTCCCCATTTTCGAATACCTTAACAAGATATAATAATCCCTTTCCAAACAGTTCAACCCCTCCCAGTACCTTGGCCCACTCTTCTTCATCCGCCCATGTCAGCGTGCTAGCCGACACCCCTCAAAAGCGGAGAAGTTCGTCCACTCAGATCGGTAAAAAACGTCGACAAACTTCTGGCACCAGTCCCAGCCCTGAGAGGAAAGAGAAAGAAAGACAGTTCCGAAATAAGTCAATGTCCTCGACCCCCACTAAACCCACTAGGAAGCCTTCAGCCAATTCTGCTTCGAATCCCGGCTTAGGATCTGCTATCTTTGTCAATTTTACGGCCAGAGATTCGAAAAAACTGTTGAATGGGGTGGCCCCGAGTGGTAGCTCCAAGCGCAAAAAAGCTGCGGAAGGTGATGGTCCAAAAGCAAGCAACCAGATTACACCTTCAACTTCAGATGATCCGGTCAAAAAGAGGAGGGTCGTGAGCAGCACTACTTAAATAATTGGATTTGCTCAAAAGGGAAATCAAATCCTATTTGTGAACTGAAACCTGTTCATTCTACCTTTAACTCAAAATCATTTTTAATCGCAAGGAGCCGATATCATTGTTATTGTGCATAGTTACTTAGTTTTCTTAAAAGGCTCAATTTCACATGCAGAAATCGGTCGATTCAGTTCAATATGTAATCTCAATACGTGAATCCTTGACATCAAATAGCCTGATTCTTTCATCCCCTCATAAGCATACCTTAATCATCAACTCATCCATGTAAATAATCCCAAACCAGTGATTCATTGAAAAAGAAGACATTGCAAGACTTCACATTACAATATTTGCTGTATATTGCTTGATGTTGAGGTGAAACACCTGTTTCCAGTCCAAAATTTGGTCTTGTCAGAGTTCTCCCCGCGTCCAAACAACAGCTTGCCTCACTTTTTCCATTTATTTACCTTTCCTTAGACAAGTCCATCCCAAAAATATGTCACTTTTTAGTTGTATCTATGCCTGATGGCTCATGTATCTATGTCTGATCCCGCAGATATGAGCATCTTTTTGGTTGTAACAGCATGTCTGTCACACATGGAATATATTCCTTATCGGTTACTGAGCTGAGCATATAGTCAATTCTGACTCATGTTTTTATATTTTCTTGTCTCATTCAGCGCATCAGCGCAGTCAAAAAGACCTTATGGTAGCAATCCTACAATTATTGATAGCGTTTTCCGTGTTTCTAAACCTCCGCCTATTCTGTGGTCCAGAGAATGCATTTCAAAGCACATCTCTAATGGGTTTACTAGAGTCTACGTGCGGCTCCGCCGCCCCTCTTGCTTAGGGCCAGGTGTGGACAGCAATCCAAATTCCAAGTTTACAAAAATAAATGTCAAGGTCAGAGTATGGAGCGTGTAGGTGTAGTTTTGCGTTCACAGGTGTTTGCCCGTGGGCAATTATA